GAGCGCGGGTGCTGCGCCTCGGCGAGCGGGAGGAAACTGGCGGCTCCGATCCCGCAGTCCTGAGCCCGCGGTGCGCTGCGCGAGGATCCGTCCCGCTGCTCCCGCAGCCGCTGTGTGCGGGGCCTCAGGCCACGCTGGCCTTCCGTTGCAAGCAAGAGGAACGACACCAGTCCGCTCCCTGCAGCCAGGGGAGGGCTTTGCCAGTGCCAGTGGTTTTATTACGAGCTGCTGACCGAGTTAAAAGGGCACCAAGCTGCAGAGGATAACTGTCGGCAGTGAGCACAAAGCGGCCGTGGGTGCTCCGTTGTCCCTGGCACACCGGCCTGGGCCTTCCCTTTTCGTTCCTCTCCCTGTTTCTACCTGTGCTGAATTACCTTCCCCCATTCCTCCTTTCTGTTCCAGTCCTCTCACTTGAAAGCACTTTTTATTTTTTTATTTTCAAACTTCCCCTTGCTCCACATTGACGACGTGCTTTGGCAAACTGTGTCCCAGGCCCTTCTGCTCCCCTGAAAGCAGCACGGGGTTGGGGAGTCAGGCTGCCTCCAGCCTTAGCTCTTACAGCCTAGTGTGCTGCTCAGTAAGGTCAGAAGATGCCTGCTGTTAATTTGCTGATGCTTGAGCTTTGTTCCCAAAGGATGCAAGTGTGCCTGAAGGACAAGGAGGAGGCACTCAGTGAGGACATGCAGCTGACACACAGTGAGCCAGAGGCACAAAGAACCCTGAGATGAGACCCCATGGAGCTGAGAGCAGTGAGAAGGGTGAATTATGGGCATGTCCAAGGGATCAGGTCCTGAGCTCATAAACCCCAGTGTCCAGGCAGCCAAGGAATCCCCAAAGAATCCAGTCACTTTGGAAAACATTAGCCAGGCCTCTGGTATCCCTGGGGTAGAACATGGATCTCGATGAAGCAGAGCATCCGATGGCTGCATCAGTCCCACACGCTGTCCGTGTCACACAGGTACATGCCTTGTGCCAAGCTCCTGGCCATGCAGGAGGACCCCCAGAGACAGGTTCCCCAGTAGTATGTGACCCTGATTGCCAAAGGAATCCTCTTCCCCATCTGCCTCCTCATCATAGAATGGATTAGGTTGGAGGGGACCTTAAAGATATCTTGTTTCAACCCCCCTGCCATGGGCAGGGTTGCCAACCACTAGATCAGGATGCCCAGGATCCCATCCCACCTGGCCCTGAGTGCCTCCAGAGATGGGGCATCCTCAGCTTCTCTGGGCAGCCTGCTCCAGCACCTCGCTCTGTGTAAATCCCCTCCCGCCCCTTTCCCCACAGTTCATAGTATTGCCCATGTGGCAGGCACTGTAGCACAGGGGCAAGGGAGGCGACACTTCTCCCCACGCCTGGGAAAGGGGCCTTGTAGCTCCTCAGTAGGCCACAGTGTCCAGTGGGGCCTGGCAGGTGTTCCCACTGCCTGGTTTAAGTCTGCTTCTTTTCCCATTCCTTCAAGAGAAAAGGAGAAAAAGAGGGGTATGAGGAGACATCAGAGGCTGAAGAAATGAGCACCAAGCCCTTTGAGGGCCTCCTTCCCTCCCGGGGGCTTTGCACCACCCCAGCATCTCCAAAGGCTGGTGAGTGCTGCCCTGGGCACTGAAGAGGTGATACTTTCACTACTGCCCACCCAGCCCTGGGACCTTCAAATCTCCTGCAGGCTAGGCTCATGTCAGTAGCCTCTGCCACTGAAGGGGACAGCCCACATGCAACCCAGGCAGCATCTCTTGTGTTTGGAGTAAGGATCATCCACAATCCCCCAAATTCTTGGTCAAATATGGGGACAGGATGAAAAACTGAGATTTCTTTGGGGGCCAGGGAGGAGAGGAGGAGTGAAGCAGGACCTTGGCCTTCCTCAGCACATTGCCCTTGTTGGCAGGAAGGATGGAGGGGCTTCTCTTTCTCAGTTCAGCTGCACTGTTAACGGGAACCAAGTGCTCAGGAGGGCTCCCATTTGGCTTGTTTGTAGCTTCCTGCGGAAAAGAGAATAAGGATTTACAAATCTTAGGGAGCAGAAAGTGCCAAGAAAGCACAAACTGTCATGAAGTCAAAGCTGAGGTCAGTGCTTTGCTTCCCACCTCTAACCACAAAGTGACAAATATCAGGGGTGCCCCCTCATCCCCACGTGCTGCTTGCCCCCACCCCAAACCCCTTTGCAGGTGCCAGAGGAGCAAGGAAGAAAGGGTGCGTACCCCATTCTCAGCCTTGCTGGTCACAGCCAGTCCCAGGGCCGGCCCTCCTGCCAACGACTGCTTCAGCTGCTCCTTCACTTCACTCAGCTGGAGCTCCAGGTCGACGCGGCGCTCCTCCTTCTGCCGGCATTGCTCCTCCAGCAAAGCCACACGCTGCTCCAGGTCCTGCAGCTTCACTCCTGATCACACAAGTGCTCCGTTCAGTGGTTGAGGCTGCTGGGCTGGGCAGCCATCAATCCTCTTGGGTAGTGACACTAGATGGGGCTGCTGGCCCAGCTGTGTGCTGCAGCCAAGCCTGACTATAGGCACAAGTGCCACGGCCACGCTGCCAGCCCTGCATTGCATCCCGGTCCTTCCCACCATACCCGGGTGCCTTCGAGCATCCTCAGCCACAGTATGCAACCTACCTGAGCTGCCTTTCATGGCTTCCCGCAGCTCCCTCCTCTCTTTCCGCAGCAGCACCAGCTCACTGCGAATTGCTGCTTTTTCCTTCTCCAGCTTATCCTTCTCTGTCAGAAACCGCCTGGCATCCTCCTCAGCCCGGTTCTTCCCATACCTGTACTGGTTGGCATCTGCATGCACAAGGAGAGCCCATCACAATGGCTCCAGCCTAAGCAAGCCCCACCTGAGCCCAATCCAAGCTGCAAGGACACCTCTCATGGTCCCACTGGGCTGGCACAGCTCAACCCAAGATGCCTTGGTGGGATCAGCCTCTACACAGAGGCCGCAGGCTTCCCCCATCCTGAGGGTCCCACTGCAGACCCCCACTCACTCGATGCATGTCTCTTCACTTTGACCTGCGGGTCAATTCGCCGCGACTTCTCGCTGCAGGAGGAGGCATGGCGCTTCACCTGGGCTCCTGCTGGCCGTCCCGACTCCTCGTCTGCCTGTGGTGGGGACAGGAGAGCATGCTGAAACACCTGTAGGATTGCCACAACCCACCAAGGCTCCCCAGAACACCTCCTCCAGTGGTGGGACATGGTGAGGCCCTGAGTCACACTCACCTGAACCTTCTCGTAGGGGACATCATCATACACCACGCGGGAGGAGTCGGGCCGGCTGTCCTGGGAGCTGCTGGCCCACCTGTGGGATGAGGGATGGTTGTGCCATCGGCCTCCTTTCCAGGACATTCCTGCCAGCCCCACAATGGGCACTTTGATCTCCCAGCTCTGGGCAGGGACATAGCTTTTGAGTGCTCACGCTGCCCTAGCCAAGCACACATATCCCTTAGGTTCTTCATCAGCATTACTAAAGAATCATACAGTCGTAGAATCATAAAATGTCTTGGGTTGGAAAGGACCTCAGAAATAATCTCATTCCAACTCCTCTGCCACAAGTAAGGTCGCCAGCCACGAGTAGGGTTGCCGACTACTAAATCAGGCACTAGATCAGAATGCCCAAGGCCACATCCAACCTGGCCTTGAATGGGGCATCCACAACTTCTCAAAAAGCACCTTCTAATTTCAGTCCTGCCCAAGGGAAGATGCCTTGCTTTAAGAAATGCCAGCCTCTGGGATGTCCCTTCTATCTCCTGGGATCTTGAGAAAACCCAATCACAGCCCATGCCCCTGCCCAGGAGCCCAGGATGAGGCTCACCATCCTACCCCATTGTGGTTTAGCACAGCAGGAGGAAAGTCTTACAGGTAGGAGTGCCTCACGGCTGTCACAATGTTAGCAATCGTCTCCACATCCACGTAGTCATAGTGCAAGGCCTCCGGTGTGGTCTGGGAGCCCGTCTCCACCAAGAGAAGGCCCAACCAGCGGCCCAGGTCTTCTGAGCAGCTTGCCTGTGGAGAGAGAAGGGGCTGCGGAGCATGCCTGGCTTCAAGTGACCCTCACTCCTACCCCAAAACACAAAGCCTCACTGCAGGGAAGGACTCTCTATGCAAAGCACGTGTGCAAGATTTAGGAGAATCAAAGAGAAAGCACGTGCATTCCCAAGCCCACAGCAAGCTGCCTGTTTCAGCCCTTTTGGCCTCCTCACTGCACATCCCTGCACCATAAAGGCACCCTGGGCTTCATCAGCGTGTACAGGAGGGGAAAGCGAGGCACCATGTGCTGGCTTCTGAAAGGGTTGATTTTCTCCTAATAAAAGCCAGAACAGCAAGTAAAGGTGAACTTGGGACAGAGGAACGTTGGTAGCACTCGAATGGGGCTGAGCATCTCCAGACTGGGCTCCATCCAAAGAATGATGTTTTAGTGGACGTGCTGGCCATTTAGTAGGCATGGCAATGACGGATTGACAATTGGACTAGGTGATCTTGGAGGTCTCCCTATGATTCCAAGGTGCTCCCCCAGCATGACAATCCTCCCAGGAACGTGCCCAGGGAGGTGGTGTGCCCTGCTCACCTCTAGAGCGGCCACCTCCTGCCCATTGCGCAGGATACGGAATGCAAAGGGGTGTTTGGGACCCAGTCCTGGGACCACCTCACAGCCCCGGAGGTTGATGGCATTGACGTGGGTGCGCAGGTCGGTGCGGTCCTTGTGGAAGTAGAGGGTGTTGGCCTTGAGGCGGCACCAACGCTCCTTCCAGCACTGGTTGACCAGGACGCTCAGGTAGCCTGGGAACAGAAGAGTCTCAGCACCATTTTGGATCCCCAAGGAGTGCCCTAATTCTCCATCAGCTCAATGGGAGCTCCCACAGCCCCTCATAAGGGAGCTCAGGACCCTTCTGCCCCTAGCCCCACGAACCGCAGCATGGGATATCCTCCTCAGTGGAGGAGGTCTGCGTATCCTCAGGGGAAGGCTTCTTCTTGGAGAAGCTGATGATCCTGGTGATCTTCTTCCCTGCTGCCCGGCTCATCGAGCCCTTCAGGTCAGCCAAGCCGCTCTTCTTGACTTTCCCTGGAAGAGAACAGCTCCGATAGCCCCCATCACCCATCGCAGTGTCCCTGCTCAGTGGGCCAGGATGACATCCCATCTCACCATACCATTCTCGCAGAGCTCTCTGCGCGCCATGGGGGAGCAGGTCTCACCCGTCGCCACACTGTCTGAGTCAGAGGTGTGCTTCTCCTGTGACAGCCTCTGTGGAGAACAGTGGAGCATGCAATGGTTCAGCAGCATCCCTCTGCCCAGCCCCAAGCGATGACCACGCATGGGCTTTTGTCCCTCCAGCACAAGGCTGGGACATGCACTCTGCGCTGGGAGCCCATTGGCCCTGCAGACCTGCTGTGAGGATGGAAGGTCACCAGCCCCACATGGCACGTGGGCCGGTTCCTGTCCTCTCAGCCACAGCCAGAAAATATCACCTTATCCAGATCCATCTTGCAGGGCATCACTGGGGACATGGGGACTTCCATCCCACTCGTTCCTGCAGTGCTTGCTTCCTTTATCACCTGCAGAGAAAGGCCTCTGAGTAGCCCCTCACAATGGGCTGGGGACCAAGGCAACTGTCCCCACACTGCCAAGCTCCCATTGCACAGCCCAAGCCCAGCTGGCCGCTGTGGTCTCTGCAGCACCCAGCTCTACTGCCCACCATGAGCCCTGCTTGGGACACAAATCCTGCTTGCCTGAGGCCCCTTCCAAATAACAACTGCTGTTGAGATGCATGGTCAGAGGGTTGGACATGAGGGATCTGGGATCTGCACAATCACATTGCCAGCACTACACACCCCGCTGTCTCCCATGTCACAGTTCCTGCAGGAGAGGCAGCACAGCCCCTTTCTCAGCCCAGGGCTCGCAGCAGAGATGGCCCCTTCTCTGCCTCCCACGCCCAGAACAAAGACAGGAAAGGGCCACGAGGAAGAGGAGGGGGTGAGCAAACATCCCTATTCCACTCCCTGGTGAGGGGCTCAGGCTATCGGCACAGGAGCCGCCCAGAGCTTGGGAAGCAGCTAGCCAGTCGTCCCCATGGCTGATAAGAGCCAGAGGAAAACCCCCTTCCCTTTCTTCTTCCCCAGGGCAGCCAGAGGAGGCTGTGAGCAAGGGGGAGGCAGCAGTCTACCTTCAGCCATTCTTCAGCCTGCTCCTTGCTCTGCACAGCCAGCACCAGTGCCTCAGCGCCAGACAGTGAGAAGCGCAGCTCATGCTTCTTGCGTCGCCCATCCTTGGGGACATAGATGACATTGCAGGTGCTCAGTGGCACTTCCACATGTGGCTGCCGGTCCTTGGAGCTTTTGTAGCACTGGGAGAAGCAAAGTGAAGCAGGGCTCAGCTGATGCTGCTGGATGCATCCATGCCCAGGATGGTGGGTAGGGATGAGCAACCCTGCAGCCAACGGCACAGATGGAGGTGGCTGTGTCTCTGCTATACAGAGACTCAACAATACCAGGGCTGCAGGATGCCCTCTCCCTTTCCTTCGGTAGCCAAGGGACCCCAAAAGCAAGAAGCCCTTTGTTTGCATGCAAAGGAAGAAGTAGCAACCCCTGCATGTGCTGTTGGTTGGTCGCAGTCTTGGAGCAGGGTTTGCTGACCTCCCCCTAGCCCACCTGCAGGTGTCTTCCCACCCCTGGTGCCCCACCAGCACCGGGCTCACCAGCAGTTTGCCATCCCGTATGATGGTGAGCTGCTTGGCCCACTGCCCGAAGCGCTTCTTGCGCAACAGGAAAGCACAAATCCTACAGTCCTTCACCAGGTTCATGGAGGCTTCTTCTGATGGCCACTGGTGTGTCAGCTGCTGACCTTTCCCCTCCTCCTCCTCTTCATCATAAGATTCATAGGAACTGCTCATGGCATCTGAGTCGTTGTCTGGAAGGGAGTAGGCAAGTCACCCCACTCAGATGGAGCGGCTCCACATCCTGCTCTGAAAGCAATTGCTGCTTTGACCCCACTACTCCTATGTCCCCCATTTCCGCTCCACATTACTCATGATGCTTGCAGGCCAAAACCCAGTCCCAGGCATTCCTGTCCAAGCCCCAGGGCTGGCTTGTTTCTTTGCAAGTCTCACACTTTTAAAGGCTCCTGGTGCAGCAGAGAGGAGCAGCTCAGGAAAGCTTGATGCCTCCCCTCCTGCCTGCGCTGCAGCCAGGCACAGCCGCATTGCACCTTCAGCACGTAGCAACTCAGTTTTGCTTGAGCCCATGTTTCACGCCCACTTCCTTGAAGCTCTTCCCTGCCTGGTGAGGGCACCCAGGTACCTACAAGAGTTCTTCTGCTCCCCGTTCATCCTGGTGACGGGGTAGTTGCTGTCTGCGTCCTCATAGTAGCCATCCATGATAGAGTTGGGGGGGCTGGAGCTGTCTGCAGGGGAAGCAGAGGATGGCCAGGGCTGTGGGTAAGCCTGCAGTCAGGCAGAGCAATGTCCACCTGCTGCAAGCGCACACAGGCACCAAGGCTGTCACCTCTGCTCACTGCTCCCTCCCCACCAAGGAGCAAACAGCCTGGTGCAAAGCAGCATGGTGGGACGGGACGGGAAATAAGTGGGCGCAGTGCAGTGCGGGTGGCTTCCTTCACCAGGAGGGTCTGGCTCTGCCTGTTTGGCTGTGGGGCAGGTGGGATGCGGCCAGGAGCAGGACTCACTGCGGGAGGTGATGTACTCGGGGGCCTTGCCCGGGCCCAGGGGCAGCGCTTCCTCATAGTAATCCTCAGGTGGGGGGGTGGTGGGTAGAGGCGGAGGGGGGTCTGCAGGAACCTGTGGCAGAAACATCAGCGAATGAGAGGCCATGCATCCCCGAGGGGCCAGCAGGGACTCTGGTGTGAGAGGTGGGAGCAGGTCCCACCTCCCTGTGCTGGTGCAGAGTTTAGAGTATTGGGACATACGCTCTTAGCTGGCTGGCTCCTCGCGAGCTCCACACCGATGCTGTCACCAGTATCCCCATCATCCTCCTGCATGTCCCGGAGATCCCGCAGGTCACAGTCTGGATTGGGAGGAAGCGAAGAGGGTAAGGGAGTAGCAGGACCCTAGAGTTGGGCATCCATGTCCCCAGGGAGCTCCAGGCCAAGCACCCATGGGCATGGCTATGGGGCAGCAGGAACAGGAGCCCAGGATGACAATGCCCTCCCCGGGCACAAGGACACAGCTTCAGCCTCCCTCCTGCCCCCCTGAGAGCCCCCATAGCCAGCTGGGAGCCCAGCTCAGCACCTGATAGTGAGACCCCAGCACCATCCTGAGATGGTCCCACGTACCAAACTCCTCGAAGAGAGACTCCACAAAGCTGGTGCCATTGCTCAGGGAGGCCGTGTTCACATACATGAAGTCTGTGTCCTTCCCTGGGAGTGAGGAGAGAAGCTCAGCCTGGAGCTGGGCAGCATGGCCAGGCACCAGCACCTCTTGCCCCCTAGATATGCCAACTCATGGCCACAGAGCAGGCTGGAGACACGGTACCAGTAGGACAGCCACTGGGTGCCATGGCAGTGGAACACTGACCTGTGGGTGGCTGCAGCTTCTGCAGGATGGAGGACACAGCCACCTTCTTTTCCTGGGCTGTGGCACTCAGGTACTCATGGTCCAGCAGCTTGAGCAGGATGCTGAGCTCTGGCAGGAGCTGGTCCAGCACTGGGGGAAGCAGAGAAAAGCCCATGAACGTAGCAATGTCAGGATGCTGGGCTTCACCCACAGCCCCTCTGCGTGTAGGGAAGGGCACACAGAACAGAGGCTCAGCAGAAGAGGATGGGACAACAATGGCACATGGGACGCATGAGGTATTTTCCAAGCCAATCTTGCACATTTTGATTCAACTTTTGGCTCAAAATTGTGACAAGCTCAGGAACTGAATCAACCTTTGCCTTGAGGACATTCTCCCCCACATCACAGCCAGGCATGAAAAGCACAGGGACAACACCAGAGGTGCTGAAATAAATGTGCAGAAAGATTCAGAGAAGGCAGAAAGGGCTGCGACACATGGAAGACCCCCGTGGGGCTGAGATGTTGGGTTGGGCTCGCGGCTGTTTGCCAAGTGCACACGTGCTCCTTCTGCACACACCCGCACACAGGCGCTGGGATGCAGCCTGTGGGTGGAAACTTGAGCTCTGCAAGCCTGCTGGACTGCTATCAAAGGGCTCAGCACGTGAATATTTCCATGCAGATAACACTACACCTCTGTCCCACCTACAGTGTAGCACGGCTGCTGGTGCTCGCTCTCTGGGATGGGAAACCTGATGCACACCTGCTGTGTGCTGCTGCAAGGCTGCACCCATGTGTAACACAACTCCGTGTGCTTGAATTTCAGAGCAGGCTTACAGAAAAAATTAATCCCTTCAGGCAGTATTTGGCACGCTGGTGAGGAGGGAAGGGAAGGCATTGCCACGCAGCACCCCTGCTGCAGGCACAGTGCTGGGCAGCAGCTCTGCTCAGCCCCCGATGTACTACAGGGCTCTGAGCACCCCTCACTGTGCCCATGCTGCCTGCAGAGCACCTCCAGCCCTGCTCAGCCCATGGTCTGAAACAGAGCCCCGCTGGTAACCAGAGCCCCAGAATAGAGCGGGGATGGGCTCCTCAGCTGCTCCAGCGTGCAGCTCTCAGGCTGCTCTCCTGATTTCTGCTGAGCAAAACAGAGCTGGAGACAAAGCCCAGCTCCTGTGTTATGTGGGTAGCACCTGTAGCATCCAGCACCTAGACGGCCCAGCTCAGAATGCCAACAAACCTGCGGCTCTGGAGGCTATCGACAGTGAGGGGAAAAAAAAAACCAACTGTTTCTTTCAATGCAAGTGTGAGTGAGATCTTGGCAGCAACTGAACATCATCAGAGCACAGCTGGGGTGGCCCCACAGCTGGCTGTGGGTCTGCAGGGACAGAGGAGAGGCCAGAGGGGACCGCAGTGGCAGCTGGGACGTGCTGAGTGATGGGATGTTTGGAAAGCACAGTGCATGCCTCATGGACAGAGCACACAGCCACTGGGTGCACTGCTGGACCATCACTTCTCTGCAGGGACACAGCAGTGGTGCTCAGAGGAAGGACTGTCTGCCTCATGGCTGCAGGGCAGTGCAGAGCCAGGCAGCGGTGAAGGGATGTTTCCCAGGGCGAGCAAAACATCCCTCAGCCAAAGGGGAGCCCAACGTGAGCCAGCTGATGCTGATCAGTGCCCAGCCAAGGCAATCCCCCCAGGCAAGAGGACAGCATGCCCAGCTCCAAAGCACCGCTCCCCAGGACGCAGGCAGGATGCAGCTCACATCCTGCTGCCTCTGCTGATGGTCTTCTATCTCCACAGACCTTCTGCTTCCTCCTCCTCCCCAGCGCCAAGCCAAACACCAGCACAGCCCTTCAGCATGACTCTGCCAGTGCCCGTCTTCCACACCACCCCCAAGGAGGGCGGTGAGCACCAGTGAATGGGCAGCATCTCCCAGCCCATGGAGAAGGAGAGGGCAGCACAGTGGGACCAGGGCTGCTGCTTAAGCTTTGGAGCTGGAAAAACATCACACAGCACATAGGTGGGTGGGTGCTCAGCTCCCACTGCTCTTCCTTTCCACTGATGCAGGGGAGAGGGGCAGACTTTCCCAGGATGCATGCAGAATGGAAACGGTGGAAACATACTGCCAGGTGAGACATCCTGCTCTGGCCAGCCAGGATCCAGCTGCAAGGCTTGGCAGGGCGCTGGGCTAGTGAGGAAGCAGCTGAGGAGAGAAGCAAGACGTCCCGCCAGCGCCTGGGGAGACACTTACCCACTCCCTGCCCCAGCTCAGCAGATAAGGACCATGCTCTGTGCCACCTTCTCACAGCACACTGCAGCCCACGGTACATCCCCCAGGACATCTCCCATCACAGCTCTCAGAGCCATGTCAGGGCACCAGACCAACTGAGGGCCAAAGGGCCACAGAGCAGGCAGCGCCTTGGCCAACGAGCACTCAAAGCAGAGCACTGAAGGCTCCTTTGTTCCTCCCCAGCTGAGCTGTCCCCTGCATCTCCCTTGTTACAGCTGCCCCTGGAGCCGAGGGGGGGGTGGGGGGGTGAGCCGCTCAAAGGGGCCTTGATCTACAGCGGGTGCACAGAGCCGAGCCTGCGCCTGGGGGAGCGGAGGGAGAGAAGAAATTAATTTCCTGAACTTGTTCAGCTCCCAGCCCACAGGAGGTTAATGAGCTGGCTGCAGGAAGCCAGGGGAGAATGCCCACGGGTCACTGCACGGATGGCACAGAGGGGCTTGGTATCTGGTGCCAGCACACAGCCCACCCTTGGGCGAGTAGGGCACCGGCCGCAGAGAGCCCAGCCCATGTTCCCTGCTGCCAAGCAGCAGTGCAAACACAGGGTCCCATCTGCTGGGTGCTGCTGGAGTTTCTCCTGCAGCCCAAACACCATGAGACCAGTTCTCTGTGCTGGGTGCAGGCATCCTAGGATACGGAGCCTTGTAAAGGAGATGTGCTGTTCTCCACGTCTACTGCAGCAGGGATGGGAAGATGTCAGAGGTCCCTGTGCCTGAGAGGGCTGGGAGCTATGGAGGCAGATGGCTTTAGCATGAGCTAAGCTGGGCTGGATAAGACACAGGTCAGCACTCCTGGGACAGGAGGTCTGGACACCAGCAACAAGAATGATGCTCACAACACCACCAGGATGCTGCTGCTGCTGCTCAGGTCAGCAGGCAGTGCTTGCTCTGCATCCCAGTACACCCCACAAACAGCATCAAGCAGGGTGCCTCTCTCCACAGCAGCACCCCACACCACTCTCCACCTCGTGCCCAGGCCAGCTCTATTCTTAGACCCTGTGAACACATTCCTCTTGGGAAACCGTGTCCTCTGGATTGGAGATAAGGCTCTGGGCGCAGCTGCAAAGCATGTCCCCTCTCCTCAGCCTCTGCTCAGTCACAGGAGCAAGCAGCAGCTCTTGCTTCAGCAACCTGCAGGGAAGTGGAGGAGGAAGAAGAGAAGAAGGAAGGGGAAGAAGAGTCTCCGGCCAAGCTAACGCAGCAGTTTCCGTGTACATGGACTGTCTGTCACAGAGGCAGAGATAAGACCACACACGTGTGGCTGCAAAGCAGAGCTGGTTGGCAGCCACAGCCCAAAGGAGCCCCGAGGAGGGGGAACAGTTCCAGGGAGCAGCACTGCAATATCACTGCCGAGATTCAGCCCGTGGCTCCGTTGTCCCCTCCAGGCCCCGCTTCCTCCCACACCAGGTGGAGGCTGGGGGCGAGGGGGGCCGGGGGAAATCGGATGCTGGGAGTGACGGCCATTGTTTGTAGCTAAAATAAAAACCAAGCAAAAATAAATCCTTCCTGTTGGCGTGGGCAGGGCCCCAGGATGCTCTGCCTGTGGAGGAGCCCTGCTTGGAGTCGCCACTGGCAGTAAACAGATGTTTATAGCTCCTGGGATGCCAGAAACAGGGTGGGGTGCAGGAGGGCAGGGGGCCACTGCAGCACCTGAGGGCAGCGGCACTGAGCACTCAGAGCAGCTCTGAGGGAAGGAAGGCTGAAGCCTCCCAGCCCAGTGCTGGGGGGTCGTTCCCATTCCCACAGGACTGTTTCCCGCATTCCCACAGGGCAGCAGGCAGGCGTTCCCACCATTGTTCCTCCACATCCATACTGCCTGAGGCCCTGCAGCATCTCAGCCCCCGGCGGGCACAGGGTGAGCTGCACTGGGCTGCCAGCAAGGAGAGCCTGGAAAATCCCCTCCTGCCTGAGTGCGTACCCAGCAACTTGGCATGCTGCAGCACAGAGGGTTTAAGAGAAAAGCAAGCCATTAATTATCACATTCATGCTCTGGAAACATCCCATAACAGTGGAAGATTTGCTCAGGGGCCGCTTGATGTCCATGAATCATCTCCTCCTTGTGAACAAGGGCCCCTTGAGAGGGGTGGGTGGGGGCAGTGTCTCCACTTCCAGCACTAGCAGCCAGAGCCTCAGTGCTTCGGGCTCCTCCTTTGTGCCCCCAAACCCCCTCTCCAACCACCCCCACAGCCATTAACCCCCACCTTAGGGCACCCCAGCTCAGGGGTTGCAGCACCCCCAGCACTGAGCACAGTTGGCTCACACCTCCTGAGTGCCTGTTGCTCTGCAGGCAGCAGGGACCTGCAGGACCTGCAGCACTCTGTGTGGCCAGGCATCGGGCAAGGCAGGGGCACAGATCTTCTGGGGAGTTCATCAACACAACTCTGCAGTATTTAGTATCCTCGGCTGATAGCCTTGAAAGGCTGGGAGCTGGGAGCTGAACGTGCAACATGCCTGCTCAAGGGGACAGGAGGTTCCCACCGACAGAGCGACCACTGCATTCTCATCTTACAGCAAGGAGCCCACAGCTCACTGCCCTCTGCCCTGCTCCAGCACTGGGACCAAGGGAGAAACACCAGGGAGACAAAGCAGACAGAGAATGCTTTACCCTTTGAAACGTGCACCCCAGGCACTCAGGGCTGTGCTGACCACCGGCACACGTTTGCTACTGCTGTTTTCAGCATGGCTTGAGAGAAGGGCCCTGTGCCTGGTCCAGCTATGTGCCAGCAGCAGCTCTCTCCCTGATATAAATAGCTCTGCTGAAAGCCTTATCTGGCAGCCCTGCTCTCAGTGACCCCAGAAGCCAGCAGCTGAGCCGTGAGCCCGGCCCAAGGGGAGCTCAGATCATGCTCCAAACACGCTCTGCCTGAGCCCCCTCTCTCAGCCCCCCCAGGCCCATGCCCTGCCTGCTATGTGATCACCAGAGCGCTTGAACCACAGCAGAACGGCTCCATCAGCGTGAGCTGCAGAGGTAATAATTAACAGGGGAATGATTGAATCACCCCCAACCACCTCCTGTGACCGAAGCAGATAAGGAGCCCTTTGGTGCCCCGTGCTAGGGATGCTACCAGGGGCTGCCCCCTCTGCACTGACATTTCTCCATCTCCTGGAGAAGACTGTGGAGGTTTGTTTTAGCTCACCCAAAGCAAACTTTTCCCTTCTGAAATGATGAGGCTGCATCTGCCCTGACCCCAGAGTTTTGTGTATCACCTTCTTTTACTGCTGAGTGAAGCAAGAAGGTAAGCAAACAAAGGTACAGGGACACGGCGAAGCCTCTGGGTGAGAATTCCCTGAGCTCAGGCACAGCCCAGTGCCAAGGACACAGCTCTGTGAGCACACAGGGCTGCACTCAGGGGGTGACATTTCAGCAATCGGTGTGATGCTCTGCAGGGAGTTTGGGAGCAGGGAGTGGGGCTGGGTTGATAAGAGCTGCTGGCTGAGAACGTGTTTAAGTAATGAAAGGAAAAGAGAGGTTTGAGATGCCCTTTTAAAGGAATAGTTGGGCAGGGGCAAGACCTGCTGAGCAATGTATAAAAACAAGCTTCAGGCTGAGGAGAGATGTTAGGATTAGCCAGAACCCAGAATAAACTCTGCTATTTCCAAGTAAAATTTTGGCATTGGCCTCTTCAAAACCAGCCCTGCAGCAGCAGCAGGATGCTGCCGTGCCCCCACACCAGGAGTGGCCCCAGCAGTGGGACAGAGCAGCACAGGGTGGCTGAGGCACTGCCTGGTGCACACCCTGCATGCAGGGGACACAGCAGGCACCTCCTGAATGGGCATCCCAGCCCTACAGATGGATGGAAGCTTTCTGTGTCCTAGGCATCACCCTTCCCCAAAGCTCCATACAGCAGATGTGCTTCTTAAAGGAAAAGTGCCATGGTGCCATTGTGTACAAGAGGACACAGGACTCTCCCCTAGAAGTGGGCAGGGTGGGGGGACACAGGAGCTGCAGGATGGATGGGGAATCAGCCAGAGCTAGCTCTGCCTCTCTGAATGTATCCAGCCATGCTGCATGATGGGGACACCTCCTTCTGGAGGTGGTGGAAGGAGTGAAAACCAGCAGGGGTAGAAAAATCCCATAGGGGCAAAATTGCTATGAAGTCAGCACCACAGAACCAGCCCTGCCCAGCCCTGTGGGATGGACACCGTGGGGGAACCCATAAGGTCTCTGCACTTTGGGGGCTGGAGCCGTGCTGCCGTAGCATCCTCAAGGGCAGGATAAGCGTGTTTGCTCAGCTGAGAACAGCCCTTCCGTTTCCTTCCATTGGCGAGCATCAGGTGCAGCAGCAAGGCCACCAGCCTGCAGCATTTCCTACCCACTTAACCCCTTCAGGGCAGGAGTGGAGCCGGGACAGCCAGTGCAGCATGGTGGGAAAGCCAAGTCCAAGCACACAGGACGGTGTGACCGCCCAGAAAGTGCTGATGTCTCCATTGATGCCGGGACTGGTTCACCCTACCTGCTTTTAGCTTCGGCGTACAAAAGCCAGCTATCAAACCTGTTCCTACACATCTACTTCTGGCTCTGCCCTGTACAACCTCAGTTTCCAAAAGCATAAGATGACACTGGCACTATGTCACATGGAGGCTGAACCTGCCAGACAGTGAGACACAAATGGACTGCTCTGCCATCGGCGAGTCTGCAGGGTCAAACGTTCAAAAGCACCCGGGAGAAAACCACAGCCACTGCTCAGGCTGCTCCTCACACACCTCCCTGGAGCTCTCCTGCTAATTGCCAGCAATCAGAGCACACAGGGGCGCCCAGACCTTGCTCCTATCGCTTCCAGGATCACATGCAGGCAAAACCCACTTCAAAAAAAAAAAAAGAAAAGAAAAAAAAGATTTTGAACATAGAAACTCCTCCCAGCAAAGATCTGCGCTCATTCCAAACTGTTACGAAATGCCAGTGTTTTCCCTGCCTGCCAAAAGCCCTCCTTTGATGAGAGGTGTTATCAGAAGCAAAAATCGAAGAGGCTGAAGAACCCGAGGCAGGTTCCATAGGGTGGGCCCACCAAATCAGAGATGTTCATCCTTCCCTGCCACAGAGGCTGCAGATCGTTAGCACAGAGGGGCTGGAGCTCACTGAATGATGCCACTGCTTTTGGCAGCCGGGGGTGATGACAGCTGGGTGTTGTTGGCCATGGCAGTGTCCGGGCTGCGGGTGGCAGGGCCCAGCACTATTCATGCCAAGGCTGCTGTGTGAAGCAGGGACAATGCAGAGCTCCTCAGGGATTTTCTGACCAAGCTTCCTACCCTGGGAGAGGGATATTCCATACAGGTTATGTAGAAGTGGCAGTTTTGCCATTAATTTACATGGGAAAAAGATTCCTTCCACACAGGAGGAAATACTCGTTCCTTTAGCTGTGCCAGACTGGACTGGTGTAGGGAAGAGTTAAAGGATTAGGACGTGAGTCTGGGATGTCAGAAACCACTTCAAGCCTCCACTTTGCAAAACCCTTATCTTGTGTCCCAGCAAGCAACTTGGCCACAGAACAACAGGCAAACACTGGGCCGAGCCCAGCTTTCACTCCCTGTTCTCCTCTACAAAGCCCTCCAACTGTTCAGGATGAGACAACTTCAAAACCTCATACAAAGCTTTCCTGGGATGGGATGAGGAGTGCCGGCCCTCCTGCAGGCAGCATTTTGCTGTATGCTGTGTAGCACGGGGCACGTCAGCATGCAGCTCAGCACATTTCCACCGGAAAACAGCACTTCCAGGTCAAGAGCAAGGGTTGGAAAGAGGCAGGTTTCCAGGCAGTCCCATGCGATAGGAATCCCTGGGTTCACTGCCTGGAAGGTGCTAACACAGCATGAGCCCACTGCTTCCCACCCTGCCCAGCAGCCCCACCGCTGCATGGGGCAATGACCCACTGCCTGCCTGCACTGGGGCAGCCCAGGGACAGCTCATCCCCATTCCCTGGGCTATAAACAGGACCCCGCCGCCAGGCAGCTCAGCTTCCAGCGGAAGGAATGGCTGCAATGCGGGGGAGAGCTCGGCACTTGCCTGGTGCTAACAGCTGGCCTCAGAGCTCCTCGCCCCTTCACCAGGCTGCATGTGGGGCTCAGGCAGCAGGTCAGGAATGAGCCTGGCTCCCTCCCTCCTAGCCCAATGCCTCCCCATTCTTGTGGGTGAGCTGGAGCCAAGTTTATCCCTGACACATCTCTGCTGGCTTCACTGGATTTAGACCACAGATATGGTGCAAGATTGAAATTCTTGTGGCACAAAAGGTCAGAGAAGAGTTATTAATGAGGAGAAGCAAGCACAGCCCAGCTGGAGCAAGGCTCATGGCGTGGAGCATCCCCAAATCACAGGCACATCCATAGCTCTCCATTGGCACAGCATTGAGTAGCTGCTAGAGAGTATGGAGAGGCTGGAGACTGAGTCAGAGGCCCCTCATCCACCAAAACTCCATGCCCTCCCTGCACAGCTACAGCCTCAGAGGGATCCAGTGGCTCTGGTGATGAGCAGAACAGTCTGGAGAAGGTTTACATTAGCAAAAAGCAATCCGAGTGCCAACAGCCATTCATTACACACACAGAAAGTTAAGCAGCAGGCACTTCCACCACTACCATAGAAGGCACCTATGAGGGGGTAAAAGAAGCAGCACAGCTCTGCCTCAGTGGGGAAACCTTTGCAAAGCGGGGCATGGCAGGCATTGGGGCAGTGGGCATCCATGCAGGAGTCATGGACAAGGACCTCTCCATGCACATCCTGTGCCATGTCTGGGCTCATCTCTACTAAGCCAGTATGGGCTCAGCAGCATGCCATCACCTCCCCACGATGTGGGGAGCCCTCAGTGCTCATCATGTGGGGGTAGACATCCATCACAGGAGGGACATCCTCCCAGCAGCCTGCACAGCTTTCTCCTTTGCCCATCAATGAGGTGCTCTGGGCCCTGGCACCACGTGTATTTGATAACAACACTCCTCCTGCAGCAGCAGCCTCCTTCAGAGCCAGCACTGCAGGGCAGGTGGGCTGGGTGAATTGCAAGGGGTGGCTGTCCCTGTTCCTGTCCTCTCCTGTGATGCCATGCAATGTACTGAGCAACAACACTGCGTGCTGCATCCCCAGATTCGAACTCCTCACATCACATTTCTACTGAGGAAACACCACCCCATCCTTTTCCATCGGGAGGGGGAACTCCTGACCCTCGGGTCTCTCCGGCGCTGACCCCGAGCAGCACACACAGAGGCTTTGCCTTGCAGAGCCACATCCCCGGCATCATTAGTACTGCTGCGGCACCAACCAAGGCCGGGACCCGTGCGTGCTTCCCCACGCCTCCACCTGCTGCCTCACAGCCCCGGGGCAGCGCTCGGCACTGACGGGCAGCACCACGCCGCTCCTTCCCCGCAGCGCAGTCACCGCATCGGGGCAGGTCCGGCTCCAACCCGACAGCCCCGTGCGCTCGGTGCCACTGCCGCGGCGCGGAAACTCCCTCTCCTCAATCCCGGGACCTCCTCCTCCCCGACGAGCGCACCGAGCGCTCATCCCCCGCACAGCCTCCCGCAAGGCGCTGCCCTTTCGCCCGCCCGACCAACGCCAGCCCGCGTCCCAGCCTCAGGTGACGACGCGCATCGACCCCCGGCCCTTTCCCCCGCGGCGCCCGGTGCCGCCGCCCGCGCCGTGCCCTCACCGCTCAGCCGGTCCATGGTCCGCACCGCGAGCAGCGGCGGCCGCCCCGGGAGGAGCGGACTGGCGAGTGGCGGCGCGGTGCCGGCGATCCCGCAACGCCCCTCCCTCGGCGCGGGGCAGCACCGGCACGGCCCCGCCTTGAGCCGCGCCCGCAGGGATGCTGCCCCGCCCCGCCGGGTGCCGACGGCTCCGGAGCCGCATGCGGAGCTCCGTGCTTCGCCTCGCCGTTCCCGGGGCTCTCCGTGCTCGCTCTCTCCTGGCGTCCCTCGACCCTGCGTTGCCGCTGTCGCTGTGCCCCGACGAGAACTGGCGCCTGTAGTGCGGGGCACCATACAGCCGGCAGCCCCTTCTGGTCCCCTGAGCAGCCCAGCCCTGCTCCCCCTGCGCACAGCCCCGCAGAGATGTGCCCCCATTAGACTCTGTCCTTGGGACAGAGCCCCAATTCCCTCTCAAACCAGAGGGTCGCCCCGGGCTGTGGGCACAAGGGCACAGCCATCCCTATGGCACAGCCAAAGCAGCACCGTGGGCACTGCAGCTGCTGTGAGGCACCCGCTGTTCTCTGGGTCACGGCAGTCACTCAGCACGTCCTGAGCGATGGCAGCCCGTGGGGTGCTGCTGGCTGGCCGCTGTCCCAGAGGTGTGTGCCGGGACTCTGGCCCAGTTATCCCATCGTTGCTATGCTGGGAGTGGTGAGGAACAGTTACTTAACGTTCATAAAATGTTTTGAAAATTAAAAGCTTCTCATTGTTGTGGCATTATTATTATGAATTAACTGAAGCTCTGGCCTCTCCAGGCTTTATCTCTCGCACTGCTGCTGGAAGTTCTTCATAGCCCCGAACAGCCGAGCTTGATTTAGGGAGCTGTAGTTTATATGGGTGAAATCATTATAAACCCAATTGGCTCATTACTGCTGCACTAAAGCTGACAGCAGCAATTACCGGTGTGCTGTGACCACATCCACTCCCACCCTCAGCACACAGCACAGGGCTTCCAGAGCTGTGGCCGCTGCAGAGGGTCAGCACTGACAGCACCCCCCCACCCTGCCACCTTCAGCCCCCAGAAACCCCCAAAGATGGATGCAGAATCAAAGCTCGAGAAGAAAAAGAAACAAAGAGCACAGAATTATCCATGAGACTCCAATTCACTCTCAGGGGAGCAGAGGGTGCCTCTGCCACGTACAGTACTGAGAATCATACAGAGCTGCAATATAGAGATCTTTCTATGTATATATTTATAGGTATGTATATATTTATAATGCCTTTAAAACAGCCGCGCCTGCTTCTTCAGCTCGTTCCTCTTCCAGAGGGCCAGGCGGTCGAACTCGGCGATGGTCATGCCAAAGATCTGGTAGAACTCCTCCTGGGAGAGGTGCCGCTGCGGAGAGAGGAGCTGCTGGGCCAGGGCCACCATCCCAGGCTGATGGCAGTGCAGGGCTGCAGCTGGAGGGGGTCTGGCAGTGAGACCCCCCCAAAGGGGTGCAACAGGGGACTGCAGCCTGCAGCTCTGCTCGCACAGGAGATGCTCCTTGCGTGCCCGTGAGCCCCCCTCACTGCCCCACGTGGGCCAGGGAGGGTAAGCCCCAAGGAGATGTGTCCACTGGAAGATGCCTCACCTCTAACCGAGTCCTGTCCACATCCTTGGGCAGCTGGTTCCTTCCCCTTGTCTTCACCAGCAGCAGCTCATAGGGGTAAATCTGCGCAGGGACAGCAGCACCATGGCAGCTCTCTACAGCCAGCAATGGGGCACCAGGACAATGCCTCCCCCTGCCACATTTTGGGGGGGCTTAAATAGCACAGCAGGGCTTTGGTGGGACAGGGTAGAAGGTGGCTTGCTTTTGGTGTGACCCTAATCCACCTGTGTGGCTCTGAAATGGTGAATCAAAGTTCTGCTACTCACTCTGCAAAGCCAGGAGTGACCCAGAGGTGAATGTGAGCTGGGAACACGAGCACAGCCACCCACCTCTGCCTCGTGCCAGGGAGACACTGCCGCCTAGCACAGGGCTGGGGACCCAGGCAGGAAGCTGAAGCTCTGTTGGGAGCCCTACAGTCCCAGGATGGGCTGTCGGGATGGGGATGGAGGGGGAAGAAGCCAGGGAGAGGGCAAAGCTTCTCCCTAACAGGGTCTGGGCACACAGGGGCACCTCTCTGGGACCTCCTCTGGGTGTCACCTCCAGGTGGCAGTCACGCTTGGGAGCCATCTTACCTTGTACTCTGTGGGACACAAAAAAAACAAGAGACATGAGCCACTCACACCAGCAGCCCCCTCCCGGGCTGCAGGGACTCCCCCATCTCTGCCCTTGTCCCTCTGGTCTAGATCCCATTTCTGGAGCTGCCTGCAGTGGGGCAGCAGCCCCACGGCACCTGCTGGCCCCCCACCCTGCCTGCTGCCCAGCCCCACAGCCTCACCTCGCATCCCCCAGTTGACGGCGTTGGTGCTGTCGTAGTGGAAAAGCTCCGCGCTGGGCGGCTGCGGGAGGGATTCAAGGAGAGAGGGAGGGGTGAGAAGGGGCCCCTCCAGACAGTCTTCTTCCCAGCACAGCATCTCTCATGTCCCCAAAAGGGGAAGACACCCCCATGCCTGGCAGTGAGGAAACTGAAGCACAAGCAACAGGGAAGTGACAAGCCCAGGTCTCCTAAGCTATAGGGTGTGAAGCAAAGCAATGTGAGCTGCAGGACGGGGATTGAGACCTGCAGTGGGGCAGGCACAGCTCTCTGGCAGTGCCCACTGAGGGTTATTTGGGACTGGCACAGCCAGGCATGGCAGCAGGGATGCAGAGAAGGGAGCAGCAGGAGGCACTCACCCTGTGCAACCCGTTCCTCCTGTAGGCAGGGAGAGAGGCTGACTTGGAAATGAGGGGATCTGGAAGGAAACCACCATGGAGCATGAGTGAGACCGCAGGACCAGCCCAATGCACCCAGCAGCACTGCTGCATGCCCATACCTCCCCTTTTCTGACACATCTCCTCAGCCACTGCTCCCATGCATGGCACAGATGTGTTCCTGCCTCCCCAACCCAGCTGCTCACAGTCTGGTTGAATTTCCATTATTTCTTCATTTCTGTCCAGCTCCAAACTCACCTGGCTCTATCTCCTTTCCAACTCCTCCCAGTGTGTTTCTCTCCCATGGCAGCCTTCCCTCCTCCATCCCAATAGCCCCTTTCAAAATCTTCTTCCCTCCTGCTCTGCCCTGGCACAGCACAGGGCTCCTTCCTCTCCCCACACCTCCCCAATCCCAGCATGGCTCTCTGGGCTCAGCTCTCAGGCTCTGGTCTCCACACCTGGATAGGACCATGCCCCAAGGATGAGGGGTGGTACACTCACCACTGTCAGCCAGGTAGTGCATCCGGGGGGCTGCAAGGGGAGCACAGCCAGGGTCAAAGGATTGAGCACTCTGCACCACGCAGAGATCCCCCCCCCATCCCGTGGTCCTCCTCAGAGCTCCCCAGGCATCCCCACACAGTCCCAGCCCCATGAGAGCATGGAGGCTGCACAGAGCCTCAGAAAGAAAGGGGTCTCCTGGGTGCATCCCCTGTTCCCAGCCCCTTCCTGCATGGGACAGAGGGGTGGACAGTTGTGCTTACAGCCGTTGAGGGAGCCCTCATAGCCAGCCGTGTGCAGGGCTTCTCTGCTGCTGGCAGAGCTGCGGGGTGGGGTCCAGGGGTCTGCATAGGAGTTGGAGCGCGCCTTCATCTCCTCCCTCAGGATCAGCCTGCCAATGCCGCTCTGGATCTGGGCAGAGAGATGGCAGTGCTGGTTGGGAAGCATCCCAGGGCATGTGGCACCTCTGGGCAAAGATGTGACAGGCTTTGTGCCTTCCTGACTCGCTGCCACCCTCTGTGACCACCCCACCAGGCTCGAACAGGGAAACCTCTTACCTTGTGCATGCCCCGCTCATAGCCATCCTCTTCACCTCCTGATGAGAACCGCCGGGCTCGGGGGGCTGCAAGGAGACATGTGGGGGTCAGATTGGGGCAGAGACAGGAGACGGCCCCCAGAGGCACGGGGACAGACAGATCCCAAGGACTGCTGGGATTTGGGGGTCACTCTGGTACGTATCTCAGCTCAACCCCATCTTTGGGTCCAGGTGCAAAGCAGGGTGATGCCCTCTCTGTGGGTTTTCCATTCCCGCAGTGCCACGGATGGCTGTTACCTTTGGGGGATCCCTGGAAGGACCAGTACTCTGACTCGGAGTGGTAGTAGGGGTCGGGGGAGTAGGCAGGGCTGTACTTGGATGTCTGTGCAATGTCCTCACTGGTTTTGCTTTTGGTGGCTGCAGGGACGTTGTCTGCAAAAGGAGAATGGGGAGCTGTAACAGGGACATCACATTTATAAAAGTTCCACACCAGGATGAAAGCAAACCCTCCTCTCTTCCCAGCACTTTGTAATAAATTGTGTTTGGGAGAGCTCAGAGCAGAGCTGGAAATAACCCATTCTCAAATGACTGACACCTCCTGAAAACAAGGATGCAGTGGCAGACAATGGTCTCCAGTGCAGGGTCTGGCACTCCAGCAGCCTCAGTACCAGCAGCACCATGTCCCCAGGCTGTCCCCTCTCCAAGGGCTATGGCTGCACAGGCACACAGCAGGGTTCACACAGGAAGAGATGGAGGAGGGCACAGTCCCTCTGGGGCAGCCAACAGGTCACCATGGAGAGCAGGGGGGGGGACCCCAGCAGCTGGGGAAGGGGTTCAGTCCCAAGGCCAGGACACTTGCAGGGGGATGGGCACTGGGAACATGCATAGCCCCTGGCTCCTTCCAGCCACCCTCTATGACTGTCCTGGAGGCAGCAGGGGAAAGGAGGTACAGGCAGAGCCCACCACCCAAGCACAGGGTACCTCACCGACAGCAGCTACTTACAGCAGAGGTGCAGGCAGACAGCAAGGCAGCGGGCAGGTGGGAAAGGGAGCCCGCAGAGAGAGAGGAGACACAGTTACTACTTCAGGCATCTGCACTTCATGCCCAGCTACACATGTCAGCAAGCAGAGAGAGTACAAGCCCAGCAGAGCCATGAACCACCCCAGGCTTCCTCCTCCCCAGCCTCCTGGGTGCATTTCAACATGCAG